CATCCAAACGAATGCTTTAAATTTCTTTTAAGTAAAACTTTTGATCAGCACTTGTTTAGTCTTTTTTTTTCCTCTAAGTTGGTACCGAATATTTAAAAAGTGGCCCTCGTAATTAATTCCTTTCCTTCACTTTTATGTTTTCGTATGAGAGTGCTGCGCTGACAGCTTTCAGACATCAGAAGAGATCGTCAGTTTGTTTTGATATTTTTATGAGGTGCGAACGCACCTGTTTTAAATGGCAACTCTTCTTTAATAAACTGGATACTTGTACATGTGGAACATCCGTCTGAAAGTGTCTAGGATGCCGTTAACTTCAGGCTTGAAGTGCGTCCTACAACTGGACCTCACGGTGCATCAAACTATTAAGGTGGCTTCGTCATACAGGCGCATTGAGCTATGACTTACTTTCCGTCATAACGCGATGGCTGAGAAACTTTGCAAAGAACCACAGATATTATTGGCAATAAATGAAATATTCTAATTTCATTGCTGGTAAATAATTTTTTTTTTTCGAAATTAGCAATTTAAGTGGACCCCACGGTTCATGAGAAAATCGTGTCTAGTAAAATATGCCAGGTAAATTTCAGAGAAATCGTTGGAGCAGAAGTCCGTAACTAGAAATTCGTTCAAAATTCAGCTGTGAAATTGTTTGGAATTTCAAAAACGGGGGAAGAACTAGCCACCTAAGTTCGAATTTTCGGGAGAAATAATTCCTGACCAGTGTTTGCTTATTCTTAAAACAAAAGTTGATTGCCAATCGTGTTATTGTCTAAAAGGTACTCGTTAGTTTTAGAAGCTCTGTAAATTGCTCCAAACCTTGCTCTGAAGTCGAATGACTTGTTAATTGACATTTTATAATTATCCCTTTGCACGGATTTGGCTGAAACTCCTGCAACATACATTTTGATGTATTGCAATGCACCTTCAACGGCTTTCACTGCTGTAAGTTGCTTCCAATTCGAGAAAAAGGTATTGAGATTGTAAGCTACCTTGTATCAAAGCTCAGATAGGACTGTCTAGCATCTTTGCACTTATGACTAAGAAAATGAGCATGGGCGGCAGTTCTTTACTAAACGCGATTTTCTTTGAACAGTAAAAGTAGGGCCAACGTAAGCGCTAATTTTGCAAAGAATCTTTATATCAACGATGAAATCAGAATATTCCATATTATTGCTGAATGATATCTGTTGTTCTTTGCAAAGTTTCTCGGCCATCGCGTTGAAAACGAAAAATTTATGACAAAAAGTTCGTCATGGCTCAATGCCCCTGTATTAATGACGGAGCCACCTTTATTAATACGATTGAAGCACGGTCAACTGACAAATTAACCTCACTACTAGATATTAGTGTATAGTAGGCTCGTGAATTTCTTTGCAAAGGTTTAATTTACGAAAAATTGGTTAACCATTTTTTAAAACACTTGCACTTCACAGACGCGAGGCAATGCAGCGAAACCGATATCAAATATTAAAAAAAAATTATCCACTTTACTGACCTGTTTGTAGGCAGCATTTCGCATTGGCGAAAAACTTGGTGGGACGAGGATTAAATTTGAAAACGTCCGAAGGTACAACTAGGAAATAGTCTGAAGGTGAACCTGAGTGTGTTCAGTTATACTAAATTTTTGAAAGTGAAAAATAATACAAACGTACGAGAATAAATCTGTGATTTGTTTTATGTATTATAAAATTTTTTCTCCAACTTTACGAGTGGGTCTTTTTTTCCTATAACGTTTAAAACGGTACTAATTATCGAAAACGCACAAGCTAATCCGACATATTCATCGTAACCAGAATAGCGGAGCTTTTGGATAAGGTCTACTTTTAAGTTAACAATTTTTTAAAGTGACTACAGCTTGGATTTTATATGATATTTCACACGATTGTTAAGTTTTTCTTTTCATAAAATTTCCTGTTTCCTATCAACTTTTCCTTTTCATTCGTTTGCCACCAATTATTATGGAAAAACGAAACAAAGCCTAGCTGTGGTCACTTAAAACGTTCCCTTCGTTTACACCCTAAACACAAATTAAATATTCATAGTGACGGAAATAGCCGGCCGCTTTCTGGATGCGTTTGCGCTGGAGTACAGCGAGACCAGCAAAGTGCATGTTGGAGCAACATTAAACAAGATTGAAGCCACCCAAAAAAATGCTTTGTTTTCTATTCCGATCCTTGACAGAAATATTTTACTCGAAAGTCTTGAGACTTTCTAAAAGTTGCTTGGGTTATAGTTCTTGGTTCCCCCCTTTTTTTCCTGGTTAATTTTTTTTAGTAAAGTCAGTTAATGTTTTTCACTTCCTTTTTATTGAATATTATTCCATTGCTATTTAGTACTCAACAACTGGAGCTACGAATGGTTATTTATGGAGATAACGGAAGTATAAGAACAACGGGAGAGGCCTGGGCACTTACCTATCCCTGTTCTAGAATCATCTGGATTTTGCTGTTTCTGATTGGCTAGAAATCGGAAAAAATTTGAACTTAAAGGGGCTTTATATAAGTCACGAGGATATTGGTGTTCTAGGTCAATTAATTGCTTAAGTCATTTAACTCAGTGCCTTCGAAAATATCAAACAAATTTCTTCGGGAAGTAAAACGGCATAATACTTTTTGGGTGATTTTTGCAGTTATAGCATTAAGAACATTAAAGAATTGGGTTAATCTATATCCGTTCTTGCCATTTGTAGCAACAGACGACAGGAAACAGTTTCAATGCCTTAATATGGAATGAGGCTGAGTATCATCTGAAGGGCTATCGAGGAGGGTGTTCGACGGGGCCGTAGGCCGAGGCGGGTAACACCCTCCGAGATCTTCATAATTCTTCAGATGATACGAAAGACGAATTCAATAATTGTTTTATTATTCGTTCAAAATAATTCCTAGTTTAAAAACAAGCTTAAACATGCTTACCTTCGTCGATGTTAAGTTCGTCTTCGATAGTGCATGTTAATCGGCAAGTTTAGGAGATAAAGGGCTGTTCAGCTCCGCAAATATTCTCCAAATGGCAGATGTCGTCTCTCGAATTGTCTTCTTGCTGGTCTTGTTATGTTTTTAGCCAACCGGTTCGCCTATTTATTCCTCGTGAAACGAGTGAAATGTTCCGCCATTTTCTACACACTACCAAAAACAACTCAACCTCGTCCCCAGGTCTTCTCGGTTAATGGTTCAATAATCTGGCAATTTGATGCACGATTGACGTCATTGACGTCATTGTTCGACAGTAGCCGGTTATGATAAATTATGCGTGGGATTTTAGCCAATCAGAAACGGAGAAATATTTTAAATGAAATCTATAACAAAACTGGACCTGATTATTTTTAAATTTAATTACAGTGGAACCCCGCCTTACGACCACCCCGTTTATAAGACCACCTCGTTATTACGAGCATATTCTTTCAAACCAAACGTAACAACCATTGAGTCATTTTATTATTTTGAGGACCCCGTTAATGCGACCACCTCGTTATTACGACCAGGATTTTATGGCCCAACTGTGGTCGCATTTACGGGGTTCCACTGTAATGCGAAAGACACGGTTTAGATTTTTAAAAAAAGATGGCTATAGCGTGACATAACCCCTTTAATTATCTCCTAGGGGCGGGGGGGGGATTTTTGCATCAAGGATTGCTCCAGGGAGCTTTTGACACGTGTCTTTCGAATTACGGCGAACATGCCTATATGATCGTCTAGTGCCACACTAAGTTACATAAGGTCACGTATTGGCTCCGTGTTTATTGTTATTACTATTGTTATTGTGAAAGGTTTGAACCCGGGAGTCATTTCAAAAGGTTGAGTTTGATCGTCTGGGTGATTGTTATTATTATTATTATTATTGTTTTTTGTTTTTTGTTTTTTGTTTTTTTACCATTGTTATCATTGCTATTCATCATTATTATAATTTATTATTATTATTATTATTATTATTATTATTTTAATTTGACCTCGTATATGGGTACGGGGAATGGTTAACAAATAATAAAAATGTTGTTAAGGTAAGTAGGGTGACTTTTATAAAAATTTTACAAGTGTAGCCATCGTTTTCAGAATCTAAAACAATGGTTACACTTGTAAATTGCACTGTAAAAGTTTTATTAAATTGGCCCCAGACTTTATGTTCTTATACCTGGCTTACACAGTTACAAAAGAGAGTGCCCCTACGGATCTCCTGGCCATAGCCAGTGTTATTCCTTGAGATCCAGTTGTTGTTCAGTTACCACTACGAATCGGATAATTTAGAATAATTGAATGAGGCTTACTATGACGTGAAGATACAAAAATCCCGAAAATGTCCTTAAAATCTATCCGGAAATTCTCTAAAATTAAAAATGTCTTTAAATCCCATTTTTATCTTTGAAAATCTCAAAATTTATTTTAAAAATTCCGATTTGTCTAAATTTTTTTTTCGAAATAATCACATAATTTGCATATAATGTTAGTCTGCGCTTTTGGAACGTTCAAAATCGTTTGTACCTTTCTGTTTCTTTCTTGATTTATACTGAAGCTGAGGCTCAGTTGAATCAATCTCGATAGCTTCTGCTTCTGCCATGTTGAGCTTCCTATGCTTCAAGGCAACCAGGCTGCTAACAAGACATGAACATAACTTATGGGCTAAACCACTGGCCTACTAGTAGCATTTGAATGGCAAGAGCCCGCTTGGAGCTTCTTAGAACCACCCAAATTTGTTTTTATGCTATTGGCTCTATTTTTCTTCACATTATCGTCTAAAAATCCCATTTGACGTTCTAAAAATTCTAGGAAAAAACTTGGATTTTTGTATCTAGGCTTAGAAGAAGTTATTTTTAGGTGGCTGAGTCATGTCCAGCCGAAAATCGAATCAGCTGGGCATTGCCGCTCAGGATTCTGAAAGCCCCGAGTAGTCGGTTTCAACCTTCAGCCGCTATAGCACTCCTAGTAGTACAGTGCAAACTGATTTAGGAACGCAATATGATTTCATTGAAGCAAGATCTCTTACTTGTTGGCTTCTTCAATGCAAGTGAATTATTCTGCTTGCAGCGGACGAAATGACAACAAAACTGGTTGCCCGTTTTCGGGCAACGAGAAAGCCTGGTTTGAGCTGGGTCCAGGTTGGTTGCTCTCAGTTCCTCTAATTTCTCTTTCTGGCAGGGTGTTTTCAGGTTTTGTTAAATGTAGTATCTCGAGAAATGCGCTTCGTAGTTTCTTCATACGCCAACAGTAAATAACAGGGTTAAACAGGGAGCCTAACATGATGCAACTTTCTACCCATCTCCAAATGATGACTCTGAAACGCGGCGGCACCGAAATGCTACGTGGAAGAGTAGTCAGCACCCCCACTATTGTTGCTGGCAAATAAGCGATTATCAAAGCAATCAGAATGATTGCCAGAGTAGTAGCTGCCCTTCTGTCTTTCTTGATTCTTTGGATTTCTTCTTGAGGCAGTTGTTCGGCTTTGAGGCGTTTAACTTGTCGCCGTGTCTCTGAGTAAATGTAGCCGTAAGATAATGAAATAGCAATGAAAAAAAGGGTTCCGATGGCAATTTGTGTTATAATGTTCGCGCGCCAATGATCAGTGTAGATGCTTTCACTGTCTACTAGAGCCAGAACAAGTGCATTGATTGTTACCATCAAGGTGATAGCCCAGGCGAGAACAATGCTAATTATTATTCTTGTTTCTGTGACAATATCCTGGTATCTCAAGGGGTATCTGATAGCTATATAACGGTCTATGCTGATCACGACCAGATGACTGAGCGAAGCAAACGTCGCCGTCGTAGTTAGCACAATCAATGCCTTTTCTGGGGAACAGAATGGCCCAAATCCGTAAAGTCGCTTTAAGTCTAGCGATAAAGCGGCCGGTAGAGCTACTAGCCCTGTAAGCAAATCCGTCCCAGCTAGACAAGCAAGAAGTATGGTGGAGTTGTTTCGCAGTCGGTGCCTCGTTGCCACGGTGAAAATAACAAGTGCATTTAGAAGAATCGTAAGCAGAGCTGCTATAATATCGATAGCCACCAGGGCAACCAGATGTTTGTATGTATCGTCTCGTAAGTACTCCGCTTGCCAAGCAAGCTCATTAGAATTACACTCTACTTTTTCTGGAACCGAAGACCTGGAGAAATTAAGAAGTAGAAGCATATTAACATGGGAAGTTGTCCGGCGTGCAACTTCCGTCAGTAGCAGGATATTTTTTTGTTCTAAGAAAGTGTATCGAATTAAAAACCTTTAGATGATTAGAAAGTTAGAGAGGGGCTCTAGGGCCAACACCCAGCCCCCCCAACTCCCCGCTCCCCCCCCACCACACCCGGAAACATGAAACATATTTTTGGATGGTTAAAATGCCGTATTTACACGATTGAACGCTGCAGATTAAAGCAAAATTTCCAATACACGCTTGTACTGTCGCAATTTGTAATAATCATCGCACTTTGTAATACCTGTCGCAATTTGTAATAAATCCATCGCACTTTGTCGCCCTTGAATCAACGTCGCATCGAAAACGCTAAAAATTAATAAACGCTGAATCGAATAAATACGGTGTATGTGGAAGCAGTTCCTCTATTAACGCTGCTTATTGTGACCGTCATGAAAAAATGTTTAAAACTGTCACAAGGACCACTATGATTTCTACTATAATCTTTCAACTATGTTTTTTTCTTCTGGAGTCTAAATAGCGCTATGTTGTAGATAAGTTTCAGCCTTTGACGAACGCAACTTTTTGGGGAGTTGTACAGCGTGCTTTTGTAGAAAAACTGAGTGAAAAAATAATCCTACGGCCGCTGCATTTTTTCTAAAAAGAGCATTTTTATACCGTCAATTTGGTTTTTGGTTCCTATATTGCTTAATTTCCCTAAACGTTGCTAGAAAAGCACTTTTTCACACTGCAGCTAGATTTTAAAGAAGATTACTAGGAATTAAAAATTCATTTACAATATTTTAATTGGGTGCATTGGCACAAGGAAAATTTTTAACTCTTTTGCCGACCTTATCTGGCACATGCGGGAAGCAGTGCAATGAAGTTGATTTTTAATGTCATTAACTGACCTGTTAGTCTGCAACATTTTACGCCGCCGAAATCTTGATGAAACGAAAAACCAGCTTGAAAATTAAAAGATTCGCGTTGCATGCAGTACAGGAATAAACAGCCTAAGAGCAAACTTGCTGTCAATTAATTATCATTTTAAAGTGCAAGTTATCTATGGAGAAAATCCTTTCCTTTGATGAGAAAAGGTTAGTTTTCCTTTTTTGTTGTTTTCTATTGTCTCTGTCAATTTTTCTTATAAAGCGATATAACTATGAAACTGACACACAAACGCATCTAGAATATTCATCGCGATCGGAATAGCAAAGCTAAGAACCTCCTCTGATAGCCAACGAAAGAACTAAAGAAATTTATTAATGAATAGTATTGCTGGCTTCAAGTTTTGTTATTTTACACTAGTTTTCCTCTTTGAACACAGAGACATATGGTTCTCGAGGAAGACATACCCGGTGACGTAACCAAAGCGTCTTAGGTGTACAAACACAAAAATCTGTTTGTTTGTTCTCTTTTTTAACCAGTTGCCTGGATAAATTGGATTCTGAAGATGCAAATTCTAATAATAGAGTGTTTTCACTCACTTGACCAGCATCTATGCAAATTTATTGGAACAAAAGAAAGCGTTTGCATAAGAAAAGAGTTCAACTCCCACAGGACTGGTTTGGGACACCAACATGGCCGCCGTTTCATTGTTTTGGGACACCAATATGGCCGCCGTCACGTCACACTCTATACGAAGATCTGAGCCAAAAGTAGTGTTAAGCTTGCAGCTGGCTGCGATAACGAACACGGTAATGAGGTAAAATAATGTAGGTTTTAGTTTGTTTTATTTATTTGTCACCTGCTCCGTTCAAATTTTTTTCAACACCAAACAGTTACAACCTTACTCTTCTGGTCACTTGAGGAACAAGTTTTTTTCGAAACATTTTCGAATACATCTAGAGGGAAGACCAATTCTCGAAAAAAAAAATCGTTTTAAAACCTAACACGGATACGTGTGGACACGGCCTGTTCTAAGTGGGTACTTCGAACTTTTACAAGCACAGATGTTGAGGGGAAAAACGATCATTTTGCAGTCTAATGGTAAACGGACGTGGGACTAATGCTATTCCACCTTAAAGGGCAAGCATGTTGGCTTCGATTACGTTTGAATGTGACTTTACTAACAAATTTTATTTAATATTTGAACGCATTTGATACACTGCCGATCGGATTTCGATGACGAATTAGTTGATCAAAATATTTGATGATTTTTACGGCGCATGCCCGAAGCAGTGCTATAAAGCTGATTTGTATTGTCATTCAACTGACCTGTTAGTCTACAGCATTTTACGTCGCCGAAATCTTGATGAAACGAAAACACCAGCGTGAATCTTCAAAGATTCATCTTGCATGCAGTGCAGAAATAAACAGTCTGAAAACGACCTGCCGTCAATTATCATCTTTAAGTGCAAGTTATCTGTGGAGAAAATCCTTTCCTTTGATGACGAAAGGCTAGCTTTTCTTTTTCTTTCTTTCTTTCTTTCTTTTTTGTTTCTTGTCTCTGCTAGTTTTCGTAAACAATGTCGTTAACGAAAACACACAAACGTATCTAAAATATTCATCGCGACCGGAATAGCAAAGAACCTTCTCTGAAAGCCAACGAAAGAAGAGAAATTAATTAATGAGTAGTTGCTAGCTTCAAGTTTTGTTATTTTATCTTATTATACTAGTTTTCCTCTCCTAACGCAGAGGCATATGGTTCTCGAGGGATATAACCTGGTGACGCAAGCATAACGTAAGCAAAGAGCCTTAAGGGTACAAACACAAAAATCTCTTTGTTTGTTTTTTGTTTTTTAAACTTGGCTGGATAAATTGGGTTCTGAAGATGCAAATTCTAAAGGTTTATAATCAGTCAGTTTAATACGAAGATCGGAGCCAAAAGCAATGGCAAGCCTGCAGCTGGCTTCAATGATGAACACGGTTGTGAAGTAAATGTAAGCTTTAGTTTGATCGTTTTATTTGTTACCTCCTTCGTTCACTCTTCTTTTTCTGTTTTTTTTTTTTTTTTTTCAACATCAAGCTGTGAAAAATTTAGATGGAAAATGTAGGGCCTTGATTCGGGGAAAATGAGATCATTACCAAACCAGCCAAAACGTGATCAACTTGGTGCGTCATTTTAGTCATCGTCGAAAATATTAAAACTGCATGCTCATCACGAGACTCATTTGCATAAAATGAAAGTTGTCACGATTCTTATCCCCAGTTTCCACGGTCTCCGCTAGGAACACCTGGGACTAAGAATCACCATTTGGCGAGGACACACGAAAAAAAGGGAAACGATTGCATTTCCAGAGTCTCGCAGCTAAGAGAAAATAATTAGATGATCATTAAATTATTTCTTGTAACATGAATTTGCAATCTCAAAGTCAAACTCCTTGGTTAACATATTTATCATTGCATGAGAGTACTTTTATTGTAACCCACATTTAAGAACTTGCTTTATTCTACTTGGCTAAACAGGTGCTTATATCTATGGGTTTAAAATGGCAAATAACGTCCAGTAGGCTCTTAATGAACTGCTAGGTTTTTACACCTGGGTTTTTACTGTGTTATTCGTTGGCCTCTTCGATGCAAGTGAGGTATCCGGCTTGCAGCTCCCGAAATGACAACAAAACCGGTTGCCCGTTTTCGGACAACGAGTAAGCCTGGTTTGTACTGGGTCCAGATTGAATGCTCTGAGTTCCTCTTATTTCTGCTTGTCGAGGGGTGCTTTCAGGTGTTCTTAAATGAAGTATCTCGAGAAATGCGCGTCGCAGTTTCTCCATACGCCAACAGTAAATGATAGGGTTAAACAGGGAGCCCAACATGATGCAACTTTCTGCCCATCTCCAAATGATGACTCTGAAACGCGGCGGCGTGGAAATGCTACCCAGCGGAAGAGCAGCCGGTGTCACCACTACTATTGCTGGTAAATAAGTGATTACCAAAGCAATCAGAATGATTGCCAGAGTAGTGGCGGCCTTTCTTTCTTTCTTGATTCTTTGGATTTCTTCTTGAGGCAGTTGTTCGGCCCGCAGGCGTTTAACTTGTCGTCGTGTTTCTGAGTAAATGTAACCGTAAGACAATAAAATAACAACAATGAAAAGAGAGCCAGTGACAGTTTGTACGATAATGTTAACACGAGAATAACTCGAGTGAATGCGCTCACTAACCAGAGCTAGAACAAGTTCATTGATTGTTACCATAAAAGTGATAGCCCAGGCGAGAATAATACTGATCATTATTCTTGTTTTTGTGACGAGGACCTGGTATCTTAAGGGGTATCTGATTGCTATATAGCGGTCTACGCTGATCACAGCCAGATGACTGAGCGGAGCATTAATCACTATCGTGAGTATCACCATAAACGCTTTTTCTAGCGAACAGAATGAGCCAAAACCAAGAAGTTGGTTCAAGCCTATCAAGAAGGCAAACGGTAGAGCAACAAGCCCCGTAAACAAATCCGCCCCAGCTAAAGAAGCAAGGAATATGGTGGAGTTGTTTCGCAGTCTTTGCCTTGTTGCCACGGCAAAAATGACCAGCGCATTTAGAAGAATCGTCGGCAGGGTTGCTATAATATCGATACAGACCAGAGCAACCAGATGTTTGTATGTGTCGTCTCTTAAGTACTCTGCTCGCCAAGAAGGCTCATAAAAATTACAGATTACTTTTTCTGGACCCGAAGACCTGGAGAAATTAAAAAGTAAAAGTATTAGCGAATTTTAACGTGGAAAGTTGTCCCTCTAACTTCCGTCAGTAAGAAGAAAGTGTACTGAAATTAAAACTTTAGATGAATATCAAATATTAAGTATACAACTATCCCCCGAAGGGTGGTGAATAGTGGTGGATATATATACGCGAAGAGTTGAGGTTTATATCTAGCGCTGTTCACCGACCCTGAGGGTGATAGTTGTTTTAGTATTTACTAAATCAGTTGGATAAAAATGGAAAAAAGTTACTTTTTGTAAATTCGAAACGAACTTTATTTACAATTTACAAACTTTTCATTTCGGGGATTTTGTCGAGTGCATTTTTACGTTTTTGTCGCAAATTCAGGTTGAGTTCAGTTCGTCGCTTT